ATTCACGAGCCCGTGGCACTGCATTATGCTAAAATCGCGAGCTCCTTCTCTGTTGACGTCGTTTTTCTGGTAGCACTCGTGGATACTGCAAGCGTTTAAACAGTGCACAGTCTCGCCTACATCCGCGGTGACGTAATCGACCTGTTGAAACTTATTGCTTGCGTCATTTTGGAGTACGCAAGGCAATTATCTCGCTGCTCTGGTTTCGGTCATAAAAGCAAGGCAAAACGCTCGTAGTTCCCGCCCTCAGTACACGTTGGACATCTTCCACACTTTGACACTGGATAACTGGATGAACGAGGATTTACATTTACTTCAGAGGTCACACTCGCCGCTTCCTCACCGTCGAGCAGCAGGATCAGCTGGCGACAAGCCGCGTATGAAAGGCTCGAGCATCAACAGCCCAAGTGCACTCGGTGCCGATGCGGGCGATGCGGGTTTCTGTCAACCGCTAGCCCAGCACAGACCGTGACCGTTCCAGCTCTTCGTCATGACGCGGTGTTGCAGAAAGCAGCGTATAATACCACTACACGGACCACCGAAGCGAACGCACTGTTATCGTAAATCTTGGCTTGTGATTGCGCCAAAATTTGTAAATAATCTTATTCTTTTTTCTGGAGACGCAAACGAAGGGCATAACAAAATCGTTTGCATATTCCGCATACCTCGCAAAAGCATCAGTCACCTTGCGAGAAGCGCAAAACACGGTGTCCGCACCGTCCTGACCTCCCAGTCTTTTACCGGCACTCTAAGAAAAAAAGGGTGTAGTCGGGTGCATCAGGCGCTCATGCACCCTTTTCCTGAAAGACGCACCCTCCGTTGCCCAGCCAGTGTGCTTGTACACCGACAATTGAGCATCCCCCTCTCCCTTAAAAACATCTAGGTTTACCAATGCACCGCCATGCTAGCCACGCGCCCCGATCAACTTGTGCTTGGATTCCCCCATGGGGGTCACTCTTTGGGATGGGCAGTTTCTTAGGAAGTATGGAGCTATCGTGTTCCCTCGGTATTGACAGTAGAGTGGACGCTATGCTTGTTTTAGGCCAATCGGGTCTCCGGGTAGGATCACGTGACTACAGTCTCCATGCTAGAGATAAGGCAGAGCACAGCACCAGCCTGAAGGCCAAGGCCACGGATAGCATCCACTGCACTATTAACCTTGGGTCGAACTTTTAAGAGGATATAAGCGACAAATCCTTTCATTGTTCGGTTGCCCCTGAAGATAAGCCTTTGCGAGGGTGGCCCCTTTTGGCCTTGAAGGAGCTGCAATTTTCATACTCATTTCTTTTTCTTTCTTTCCCTAAGCTGAAAGCATGGAAGAAGGCGCGCAGTTGCCGGACCAATGAACCGAAGGCTTTTTTTATCCCTCGACTCCTCTGTCTGAGCGCGGATACGGCAGGAGCGTGATCATGTGGTAAAGGTTTCACGGATGACGTAGTAGCTTTTTTCCACCTCGGAATGTCTGCTTCCCGGCCTAGTTGCTTGTGTGCTGTGCTGCGACCAGCCGGGCTGCCGTAGATTTCGCCCGCGACAACGTATTCGAGTGTACCGATATTTCAAGTGTTTGAAAAGTCCTACGCGTGTATCGGCAACAGGGGCTTTCTTCAAAAAAGCCCAAGGAAGTTATGTGATGTGTTTAGTGTTCGGTTCGGCAAATTACTGCTTCGGACACATCGTGTTGAATCTTCACGGACCCCTTTCTTTTCGTTTTTGTGTGGTTCTGCAGCGCCCGTGTCGACATATATATCGGATTACATATTTCAAGTCCGGTATTTTCATCGTAAGTGCACTGCAACCTACTCCTTTGCAACAACTGACCGTTCCGTTCCGCATTACCTCTAGAATTAGGCAGTGTCTATTTTCTATCAGCCGGGAGAATAATTTCCCCGAAATTCTATTGGCAGTCGCCTGCCATTAGCTGTATACAATCATGTGACAACTGCAGGTGGAATACTGACTTTCTTATTCTCCTGGCGTTTTGTGAAAAAACGTCTTTGTCGATACACGTTTTTTAGACTCGTTTCATCGACACTAACGTTTCATCGTCACTCGTTAAGCAAAATGCACGCTGTAAGGACATTTTGTCGCGCGTGTGTCTCTGAGGCGCGTGCTCACCGACCCAGCCCTCCCGTTCGCGCCGCTTCATGGCGACAGTCTGCGGCGGCTCATTAAAAAAAAATGTTAGCCCACCTGTCCCACCCATACACGACACTTCGCGGATACATTCTGGGGCGGCTCATTACAAGAAAAGAAAGGAGAGAAGCTAAAATAAAAAATCTAATCTGAGCTGTCGATGGAACGTCGTTTAATGAATTAACGGCGACTGCCGGTGGATATTTGTGGAAATAATGCTACGGGCTGCTGGCAGAATGGACACTACCTAAGACTCACCCCCGGTTCTTGTTTGCTTAGTAATCTTTTCAGTTGTGTAAAAGCTTCTTTGTACGTCGTCAGATATCACGGATTGCTTGCAAGTTTGTACTTGTGTACGGAATAGGCTGTCTAATAAACTTCTATGAGATTTGAAAACAATACCGTGTGTCCGTTAACCTGCCTTTTTGCAATCACCGGGGCGCATACGTTTTTCACTCTTTTCCTTGATGTCTTAAATAAGTTTATCAAGTTATGAAACGGGTGCATAAAGTGGTGTAACCATGCACCTTTGAATCGGGTGCATCTGTGTTCTCTTCGAATTCAGCGAGTGTAGAAAGAGGTGTAACAATACACTATTGAACGGGGTGCTCCTGTGTACCCTTTGAGTGAAGCGGGTGTATGAAGAGGTGCAATGGTACACCATCGAATGGGGTGCATCTGTGTTTCCTTTGAGTGAAGCGGGTGTAGGAAGCGGTGTAGCCGTACACCATCGGATGGGGTGCACCTGTGTTCCCTTCGAGTGAGATTTCTGTGGAAAAGGTGTACATGTGCACCACACCAACGGGTGTACACGTACTCCCATATTTGGGGTGCACTTGTATTCCCCCAAAGGGTGTAGTATATGTGACAAGCACTTACACCCCCTATGGGTGTACCCCATGACACCCTTTTTTTTTAGAGTGTGCTTTAGAGCAGTTTGTACCTGTTAGTAGGTATGTCTACTGAAACTGCAACTTGAAACTTGGGGCAGTGCCAGAGGGAAAAGAGACAAATTCGGGCCTCTTCCCAATGTAAAGAAAAACCACTATGTTCTCTACGTAAAAAATTGGTCTCAGTTCATGCATCTGTGGGCAGGTAGAAAATCTTGCCCTAGTTTATTCACACCGCATGATGAGCGCAACAAACTCACACGAGTCACACGAGATTTACAGGAAAACATCGGTGGTGACTTAAGTTTCCCTGAAATTCTGTATAACCGGTCGTTTGCGGGACCGAATCATCTACTCGAGCGGTGTGCGTCGCTGTGCGAACACGTCGCTGTGCAAATGCAGTCTAACGACACGAAGCATAGAAACGGCAGATTTAGGGAGACTATCCGAAGTCCCTTGTTCAATTAAAACGACGTAATTTTGTTGAAAACGTCCGCAGCATTTTACTCACGGTATGCGTCGGGAATCTTCCACATTTTGAAACGGAACGAAGGAAGATTTACTTTTAAGAACGCTCGCTGCGTCCTCCCCGACCAGCTGGACCGGATCAGCTGACGACGACGGGGCTAAACCCGTCAAACGCAACCCCACAACAACCAATATGAGCTCCGCGTTAGTGCGGGTTTCTACCTACAAGCACCGCACCACACACCACGAACGTTTCGGCCCTTTCTCGCATCGCCGTGTTGCCCCAAACAGAACGAGATCGCCGAAGAACGCAGCGCTGTCGTGAACCTTGGCTTGTGGTTGCGCACTCGTGGACCCTGTGACTCCCCTCGCTTTCAAAGCACACACGACGAATGGTACTTTCCGTCTTCCGGGAACATCACAGGGACACTTCTCCGGTCACGTCTTCACTATGTGCTCGCAAACTGCGAAGCTCTATGCGAAGCTTCTCGCGTCCCGTCAAACCAAAACTATAGCGGCTGCCAGAAATTTCTCCGGTCAAACAAAAAGAACGAAAGCCAACCGGCTCTTCCTTCCTCCGTACATCGACGTTGCGCTTGCGTTGCTTGCGTCATGGCCAGATCGGCCAGATCGCTTGCAGTTGAAGCAGTTGAAGGTTGAAACAAAAACGAAACCAACTGCAATGTCACGTGTTCACATCGAAGACACGCTTTTTATATCCATTTTAACTGTTTTGAACGAATAATTGGACCCATGACTTTATTTGTGGTGTGTAAGAAACTATTATCAAGAGCCCTAAACTAAATGCAAACATGGGCGACATGAGGGAAGCCGCATTGCCATCGACCAGAAAATGGCGGCGAGCCACGGTAAGCGCGGGTTTCGCCAACGTCCCGCGACATGGCGTAATTGCTTTTGGTGCTTATCTGTTTCCGAGACATGTTTCTTTCCGCGGCATTTGTCTCGACGGTCCTTTCTAAGTGTGTCCCCAAGCATTCCGGTGCTTCGATAGCCGGCAATGCCGCGGTCGTCGCCGGAGGCGATGCGTGTTATCGAGGTCGGCTACACGGTTATGCGTGTATGACCGAACCAAAACACGTTTTTTACAACCTCGCATGATATCTGAACGTATTATCCGTTACTCATCGTGTAAATTTATGGTAATTTGTGTAAATAGCGTGTTTTTCACCCCAAATATTCACCAAATACACGGCACTTGCTAACAGTGTAGTGGAACAATTTCTGTTGACATGCTCGAGCAAGCTGACGGTCTTCCTGAGAGAGCGCGACTGTCAGAGGTTGGATGACGTAGCAGCTAAAGCTGACCTCTTCTTGGAGGCCCAGGTGCAGCATAGCACGGGTAAGCAAAAGCGAGAGGAGGTGACAAACAGGCAAGACGCTGGAAACGAAGATAAACACGCAAGGGGTGGTCTCCGAAAGAGTATCCGCTGCTTCCTTTGTGGGAAGATTGGGCACAAGGCAGAAAACTGCAGAAGTAACGGCCAAGCTATGAGGTCACTGACAAGTTGGGATTGCGGCCGTAGTGGTCACAAGGCAGAGAACTGTAAGGGAAGGCAGAGCGAGAAACATCAGGCGTCGTGCTTGTACACGGTGCCAACAGATAATTGCGAAAACGCCGACGATTCCTACGTCACCCTGGATAATGGGGACAAGATCCCGGTAGTGAATGCGGTCATGGGGAGGGCCCCGAAATTTCTGTCGGAGAACATGCCGGTAGTGGAAGGACGACAGGGAGAACACAAGATAACGGTGTTAAGGGACACCGGCTGCAACACCGTGGTCGTTCGCAAAGAACTAGTCCCTCAAGAGAACCTAACTGGAAAGTCGAGTCCAGTGTTTTTATTAGATCGAACAGTTCGGTACCTGCCGGAGGCGGTTATTGTGATACGAACGCCCTACTACACGGGAAAGGTAACGGCGAAGTGCGTCAGTAACCCCCTATACGACTTGATACTCGGAAACACACCGCAAATGCGTGAGGCTAATGACCCTGACCCAGAATGGAAAAGAACAATGAAGACAATCTCGGCGACTGCCTAGACAAGCCGAAGGAGAGATACGAAACGTGTTCGAACGCCATCGGAGTCAACGTGGGCTGTCGCAGGGCAATGGAAGCAACCAAGAGCATCGACGAGCTCCCGGATGAGAAACCAGCCATAGCTGCGTCCGCGAGCGAGGGGAGAGATGCTGGAAGACCAATAGGAAAACTAGAACGCCCTCTGAAAGTCGCGCAGGTGTCAGTAACCGACATAACAGCCGAGGAACTCGGAAAGCAGCAGAAAGAGGACGCTACTCTTACGAAGTATTTCAACGATGTAGGGAAGACAAAGAAGAAACACAATTCCAGGACAAGGATTCAGTTTCTGCTGAAGAACGACCTGCTATACAGGAGCGTCGTATACTCATCCGGCAGAAGATCAGAACAACTGGTTCTCCCAAAAAGGTTCAGGGCCGCTGCTGTAACTATGGCACATGACAGCGTTATGTCCGGACACCAGGGGGCGAAGAACACCCTCAATCTGGTGGCGGAAGAATTCTTTTGGCCTTGCATGCAAAGCGAAATCAAAAGGTACGTTCGTTCGTGTGACGTGTGCCAACGCACCGTACCCAAAGGCAAGGTGGGCAAGGCCCCCTTAGGAAGCATGCCAATCATCGAGACACCTTTTCAAAGAGTCGCGATAGATATCATCGGTCCTATAGTGCCTATCGCAAGCTCGGGGAATAGGTATATTCTCACAATGGTTGACATGGCCACGAGGTATCCTGACGCAGTAGCGTTGAAGAGCATTGGGTCCCAGCAGGTAGCCGAGGCGTTGGTTCAGATGTTCACGCGGTATGGAGTACCGGCAGAGATCCTTAGCGATCGCGGCACCAACTTTACCTCTGAGCTAATGAGAGAGGTGAGCCGGCTTCTATCGATGAAGCAACTCTTAGCCACTCCCTATCATCCCATCAGCAACGGCCTGGTCGAGAGGTTTAATGGCACCATCAAGCAGATGCTAAGGAGGATGTGCAAAGAAAGACCAAAGGATTGGGATAGATATCTCCCAGCTTTGCTTTTCGCCTACAGAGAGGTGCCCCAGGCTAGCCTCAGGTTCTCGTCATTTGAACTGCTATATGGGAGAAGAGTGCGAGGACCAGTGGCCATCCTCAAGGAGTTGTGGTCGAACGAAGCCCTGAAGGAAGACATGAAGACGGCATATGGATACATCTTGGAACTAAGGGAAAAACTAGATGAAACATGCAAGCTGGCGCACGTGTGCCTGCATGAAGCAAGGGAGAAGTATAAGAAATACTATGACAGGAAGAGCTGCAACCGAAATATGAAGCAAGGAGACCTGACACTCATTCTTCTCCCCACCGATCTGAACAAGATGATCATGCAATGGAAAGGTCCCTTCCCCGTAGTCGCAAGAAAGAATGATGTGGATTACGAGTTAGACGTAGGAGGCAAGAAAAAGGTGTTTCACATCAACATGCTTAAAAGATATGAAGAAAGAGAAGGAAGTCAACAAGGTAGACAGCATTGCGGTATGGTAATGGATTCTCAAGAGAAAGATGAAGTCGCAAGCGAGCTAAGTTTTGAAGATACAGAGGGAATTCCTACGCCAAGCTGGACGAGGCAGCAAGGATGGGAAGACGTCAGCATAAACGAACACTTGGAATCCCAAAAGCGTGATGAGGTACGAGAGCTGATTGAGGACTTCAAAGATATATTTTCGAACCTTCCAGGCAGGACGAGTCTGCTGACCTGTGATCTTCAACTGACTACGTCCCGACCAATACATGTGAAGCAGTACCCACTGCCGCTGTCGGTTCAGGAAACAGTCGAGCAAGAAATCGACGAGATCTTAGAGCTGGACGTGATTGAGAGATGTAACTCATCATACAACGCGCCAGTGGTAATGGTAAAGAAAAAAGACGGATCAAACAGGTTTTGCATTGACTACAGGAGGCTCAATGACGTGACCAAGCCCGATGCGGAACCAATACCACGGATCGACGTCACGTTTGCTAAGGCGGGACAGAAACGCTTCTTCTCGAAGCTCGATGTAGCAAAAGGGTACTGGCAGATACCTATGAAAGAAGAGGCCAAGGAAAAGACTGCCTTCTCTTCGACGAGTGGGCTTTACCAATTCAAGCTCATGCCCTTTGGTTTAAGAACGGCTTCTGCGACATTCACGAAACTGATGCGAAAATTGTTAGACGGCATCCCAGATGCACACCACTACATCGACGACATCCTGATCGCCACAAGCTCGTGGAGAGAGCACGGTGATACGCTTCGCTGCATTTTTAGGCGCCTGCGCGAGGCTAATATTACCGTAAAGCCAAAGAAATGTGAAGTGGGCTTTAAGGAGATCAGCTTTCTGGGACACGAGATCGGAATGGGAAGGATATCACCGGACCCTAAGATCATTGAACGGATTCAAGACGTACCAAGACCGCGAACGAAGCGACAAGTAAGATCGTTCCTTGGACTCACGGGGTTCTACCGCGAGTTCGTAGAGGACTATGCGGGTCTTGCCGCGCCGTTAGTAGCCCTCACCAGAAAAGGAGCCCGCAATGAGGTTGAGTGGGGGCCGGAGCAAGAGGAGGCCTTCAATGAACTGAAAACCAAGCTGGGACATCCTCCCATCTTGTTGGCGCCAGACCCCGAGAAGGAGTTCGTGCTAAGGACAGACGCGTCTGACGCGAGTCTGGGTGCAGTGATGCTTCAAGAAAAGGATGGAATGCTACATCCCGTGGCGTACGCCAGTAGAAAGCTCAGCACCGCAGAAAGGAACTACGCAACGATAGAAAAGGAATGTCTGGCATTGGTATGGGCCTTTGCCAGATTTAGGTTGCTTCTGTACGGCAGAACTTTTCGAGTTCAGACCGACCACCAACCACTGGAATTCCTAAACAAAGCTAAGCATACAAATAGGCGAGTGATGAGGTGGAGTATGGCTTTGCAAGATCATAGCTTTCACGTGGAATACATAAAGGGCAGGGATAACGTGAGAGCAGACTTTCTTAGCCGCATTTAGACGTTTATTTTTCTTTTAAACTAAGATTTTTTGTTAGGGATAACTAGACGAGACCCCGAAGAGGATGGGTTCCCTCAATGTGTATATATCTTTTGTGTTGTATGTGTGCCAATGTCTTTTGTCAGACTTAAGACGGGGCCTTTGCATATGTGTGTGGCCACAGTGAGTTCTCACAAAAGAAATCCACGATTTGAATGTGGATGGAGAGGACCCTCCGGCCAAGTGTGGTGCGGTGCAACCGGACGTCGTTTCAAGGTCATCGAGAAGGTCGTGTCGTGAAAGTTTCGTGTAGGAGGATTGTGGGGGTGGCTTGTGCTCGGTGACGTCAAGATCGAGCCCTCGGAAGTACCAGGCATCAAGAAGGAAAAGTTTATGTTATAAACTTCTTGAAGTTGGGGGGTGTCATGGTTTTGTGGAAGGAAGAACGTGAAGGACGAAGTGACGGGTGCGAAAAAGGTGCGTGGAGAGCACGAGCCGCGACGTTCGGCAGCTGCTTCAAGGATCTGACCGGCTGTGTCCCGGTATCGACGACCTGAACCAGAACCCGCCGCTACGCACGATGTGAAGGGAACAGCGGAGGCATGAGCATCTACGCCATCTCAACACCGTCCCTGGACTGAGCGTCTACAGAAGCCAGGAAGCAAGCCTCGTCACGACATACGCCGGTGAATCTCTAAGACGATAGCCCCGTAGTTCGAACTGCGCATTTCTTTCTTGTGACTTTACTTGTAGTCTTCTTACAGTTTTTTTCCTTCCATGCTGATATTTCTTTTGTGTGTGCAAATATATGCCCAGTTTTTTTTTTCTAACTCTCTGTCTCCCGACCCTTTTCTTACCAACCCCGGACGAGCCTGTGACAGCTCCCCAAAGATTACACACCAGGATGGCGCCCCGCTACAGAGCACCAGTATATGTCGTACCATAGCCTCCTTTATACTGACAAAACCTGGCAGATTGCCACGAGAAGCGGTCGCCGAAATGGAAGAGGTGGAGTGGCATACAACGGAAGAGTCTCGCCGCAGCGGACGTGAAACACGGAAAAAGTATGTTTTGGGTCCTCGCCACTGCAAAAGCTGTGTGCTGACGTCCAGGTTCCTCGAGGAATGGCTCTTTAACGATCTGTGCTACCACATCCTCATGCTCCAAATCTGGGACCAGACACTCTATGACTCCGTCGTCGACCTGGCAGGCTTTGTGAGTATAGGGGTGCTATGGTCATACTCTAATCCACTTTACTCTTTTTTTTTTTCAGTGGGAGAGCATCTTTTTGTTTGCATTCTTAAAAAAGAGGGTTAGACTATTATGATTAAATTGGTGCGGACAACCACTAACAAGCTCTGTTTGCTGTCGTCAGGGACTAGGCATTTCTTATCAATGCCTATCTTCGCAAAAGAAAACAAGATAGGGGAAGGGACAAGAGCGGTGGAAAGCCCTGCCGTTTGCGTGGTCGATGTAACTACTCATGTTAAAGATAAATCACATGTAACTATGGTTGTTTAAGATAAATCTGTTTGAAAGGGTGTCTTCGCCATGCCAATCTGTAAACATATTTTTTTTAAAGCTGGAGACCAAGTGAGATAAGTATCATCCGCGGTCTTTGCAACTGGTTATTTCAATATTTTATTAGGAGTACTTGGCCATGACTTGAAACAAACCAAAGACCAGATTCGGGCTCATGTTGGCCTTAAGCTCAATTTTGCCAGAGAAGTAAATGCTGAAACTAGACAACATAATTCAAAGCAAACTTTCTGCAGCGACAAAGAGTTGGAAATAGTTACTGAAAGAATAGAGGAAGCAGTTTCAGGGCAACGGTATACAGATTGGACCTATGAGAGCCTAACCAGGCTTTTTGCTCTGGAACTAGACAAAGTTCAGAGTAAACGAAAGGGGAAGCAAGGACATAGATCAAAAAGCTGGTGGGACAAAGAAGTGAAGCAAACGATACAAAAACGTCAAGAAGCCTCTTGAGAACACAGGTATTCCAAGCGCAGTGGGGATTCAGAAACGGAAGTAAAGAGAAAATGGGACACTTTTATAACTTGTCGCCGAGAGGCATCCAGTTTGATCAATGCGAAAATTCAGAGAAAGGGTGAGGAATGGATGAATAATGTAAGCAAGAAAGATAGAAACGAAGCTAAGAAGTTTTGGGAGCACTTGAACTCACTTGGTGAAACGACGCAAGCTAGACAGAGGTTCATACTCACGCATCAGTGAGATCAATTAGAGGGAGATGGTGCGATGCGATATATAGGAGCACTGATAGAGGAGAAATTTCGGGAACGGGTACATGTGGAAGATAGGAGAACCGAAGGAAGTAGCAGACCAGCTTGTGATATCTCAGATTTTGGACAAAGAAAGGGGGAAAAGGCAGAACGAAGAGTCCCTAGTGGCACGTCGACAGGCACAAATGCGATCCCAATCAAGCTGGTGAAGAATTTGGGTCCTAAATCTAAGGCAAAACTAAGGGAGGTAGGGAGTACTATGATAAAAAAAGGAAATATTCCAGATGAATGGAGGCTTAGTAGGATGAGTATTATATATAAGGGAAAGGGGGATAATTCTGATATTAGGAATTATCGCTCCATAACCGTGACACCAGTTATATACAGGTTGGTAATGCAGATTATAAAGAACAGACTGGACGAATGGGTAGATTGCGAGGGCATACTGCGCGAGTTACAGAACGAGTTTCGGACACAAAGAAGGTTGGAGGACAATATATTTTCTCTAACACAGTGTATAGAAATAGTGCAAAAACAAAACAGACTGCTCTGGCTGGCCTTTCTGGATATCAAGGGTGCCTATGACAATGTGAACCAAAGGAACCTGTGGGACATAGAGGATAGCTTAAACCTAGATTAAGGACTAACAGCCCTATTAAGGAACATTTACAAAAATAATAAGGTGATTATAACATGGGAAGGAAAGGCGACGGGGAAGATAGAGGTAAGACGAGGCCTTAGGCAGGGGTGCCCGTTATCGCCTTTGCTGTTTGTCTTGTATCCGAGAGGATTGGAGGATAGACTAGAGAAGAGTGGGCTTGGATTCAACCTTTCGTACAGTAAACTAGGCCAAAAAATTCAGCCATCCTTACCGGGATTGATGTATGCGGATGATATTGTACTAATGGCTAACAACAGGACAGAGTTGCAGGAATTAATTAGCATCTGTGGTGAGGAAAGAGAGGAATAGGGTTTAGAATTCAATAGTGAAAAATCAGCAGTCATGATTTTTAACAGCGATGAAGTTGAGAGGCTGAAAATACAGAATATTACAGTTGAGAGAGCTAGTAAATACAAGTATCTAGGAGTATGGACATGTGATGGTGCAGAATCTCTCAGTGAGCATGGAAAGTATATAATAGGTAAGGGCAACAGAAATGCAGCTGTAATGAAAAATAGAGCACTTTGGAATTACAACAGGTATGAGGTGGTGAGAGAGATTTGGAAAGGGGTCATGGTGCTTGGCTTGACTTTTGGAAATGCAGTGCTATGCATGAAATCCGAAGCGCATGCGAGACTAGAAATAAAACAGCGCGGAGTAGGGAGGCTGACTTTGGGGGCACATTGCAAAACGCCAAACGAGGAAGTACAAGGAGACATGGGATGGGCGTCTTTTTAGAGCAGGGAAGCGGTGAACAAGATAGAATTTGAGGTTCTGTTGAGGAAAATGGATGGGGACCAATGGGCACGAAAGGTTTTCAGCTATTTATGCATGAGGAGCATAGACACAAAGTGGAGACAGCGCACTGGGAAATTAAGAGGAAAGTTTTTAGGCTATAGTGGAGATACGGAAGAGCAGGTCTCAGTTAAGAAGAAAGTTAAGGCCACAGAAAGACATCGGTGGCTGGACGGAATGCAGACAAAAACGGCTCTGGA